CTCTGCTGACATTCAGGGCTGTAGAGGTCCTCTCTAGGTGCTGATCCACCATCTGGGCTGGATACGTACTGGATCTATCTGCCACCTTTGATACCATGAATCATCAAATTCTTCTGTCCACCCTCTCATCACTGGCCTTCATAGCATCAATGGGGAGAGGAGGCATCCAAAGAACATCAACTGCTCACTGGAGTTCCTCAGGGATCAGTTCTTGAACCCCTCCTCTTCTCCATATACACTCCATCACTGGGACCCATCATACAGGCATATGGCTTCTCCTACCATAGCTATGCTGATGACACACAGCTCTATCTTTCATTTCAACCAGATGATCCAACGGTAGCTGCACGGATCTCAGGCTGCCTGGCGGACATCTCGGCATGGGTGAAAGAACATCACCTACAGCTCAAACTGGCAAAATCTGAGCTCCTTGTCTTCCCTGCCACTCCAACTCTACAGCATGACTTCACCATCCAGTTACATTCATCAACAATTACCCCATCAAGTTTGGTCAGAAATGTTGGTGTAATTTTTGATGACCAGCTGACTTTCAAAGACCCCAATGCAAAAACTGCTAGATCTTGCAGGTTTGCATTACACAACATCAGAAAGATCAGGCCCTTTCTAACGGAGCATGCTGCACAACTTCTTGTCCAGGCCCTTGTCATTTCTAGGCTGGACTACTGCAATGCTCTTTTGGCTGGACTTCCATCAAGCACAATGAAACCTCTACAAATGATTCAGAATGCAGCGGCACGACTGGTCTTCAACGAGCCCAAAAGAGCCCATGTTACACCTCTCTTTATCTCCTTGCACTGGCTACCGGTTGCGGCTCGAATCAAGTTCAAGACATTGATGCTTGCATATAGAACAGCTACAGGCTCAGCACCTGCCTACTTCCACTCACTATTACAAATCTACATCCCCTCCAGAAGCCCGAGATCCACTGAATCCCTGACATTTTTCAAGCGACAGCTGAAAACTCACCTCTTGTCACGATCTGACTTCATCCTAAAAAATATATCTATATATTTCCTTTCATCTTTCTCGGTCTAGCTTGTACTTATTTGAGCAATGCTTGAAACTTGGTATGACAAGCACTTCCTGTGTCTATTTGCCTCTTTAAAATGAATCACTTGATGTATTCCCCAATTGTAAGTCGCTTTGGATAAAAGCATCTGCTAAATGAATAAATGTAAATGTAAATTACCTAAAATGAGTAACAGATTACGTTACTGGCTACAGTTTTCATCATGTACTTTGTAATCGGTAACAGACTACAATTTAAGTAATTTACCCAGCTCTGGATACAGTACTTTGAGCACTGCTTACTTGATTTGTATTTTTTGTTCTGTTTTACTGAATTTGGTGACAAACTGCTTTGAAGCAATATGTATTGTATATAGCGTTAAACACAGAAAATTGGCTTGTTGATTGTGAAATTCTTGAAAGCAAGATATCATACACATTATGCTTACTTGGAAATGGCAGCTGTCCAGAGGACTGAGCTCCATCTGCTTTGCTTCAGCCAAAAACTTCTCGTCAACAACACTAATTTCAAAGGCGGGGCTCTCTCCATGGAGCAGAATTGGGACGATAGATTCCTGTGGAGGAGCAGGAGCGGGTGCAGACTTCTTCAGCCAGTCAAAGAAAGCATCCACCTCACCATACTGCACGATCAACACCCACAGCATCACAAACCAAAGCCCCATCCTCAGCAACCACCCTGGCCTGCACACAGAAGATGAGGAAGCGTGTAAAACATAGCACTTAAATATGTCCCTTATTTTCAGTTGCTCCTGAAACACTTACTAGCTAGCAACTTAAAATACATTAAATATGTGCTGCATGCAGTTCATTTAAAAACATCCTATATTTATAATTATAAACAAATTAATTCTCAGTTTTAAATAATAAATGTAAAACGGTTTTAACATTTAATAAATGAAATTTCTTTCTTTCTATAAATAAACTTATTTATTAAATAAACATACAGAGAAAACTATTATTTTCAAAATAAATAATGGAGGACATACTAAGTTCTAGAATATTACACTTGGTTGAATTAAATCTAGGTTGTACTCAATTCTGCAATCCTTCATTTAAACAAAAATTGGCTAAGTTTCTTATTTTACAGATATTAATGGCATGTATTCCTCTGTTTTTATTAAGAATCTGTTTAATTTAAATTGTGCCATCTTTCTATGAATTATATTAATGATCATTAAGAAAATACATTTTATATTTAATCAGAGGGGGTGTACTCATTTATGTTGTGCACTGTACATAAGCATATAGAGAAACCTGTATTTTTTTAAATAAAATAAATAAACTTTTATCATTTAATAAATAAGTGAGAGGAACTCATAAAATAAATACATACAGAGAAAACGGTGGCATTTTTTTAAATAAATAAAGGAATTAATTATTCTCGTTAAAAATCATTCTAAATGAGAAAAAAAACGTAATAAAAATAAATATATAAATGGTAGAAAAACAAATACACACACAAAAGTAAGAATATGCAGAAAGGCTACAACAGACGTATAAAATGTCAATGCGTTGGTAAGGAAGCGTAAGGAAAAACAATTATACACTTCACTTATTACTGTAAAATAGGAACACGGTCTATCAGCACACGTTGGGCCTGCTGTTAAACGAAAGCGTGCAGCATTGATAGTAATGTGAGGTCTGCCTCTGAAACATGTCTGGGCTATCGGATCAGTGAATCAAAACCTTAGATCAGATCTTACTCATCATTTCACCGGCCATCTCCGGGTTTACAAACCGAACTGGACATTTACAAATCTGCATTTTATTCAGACATGCACGTTATATAAAAATTAGACATGCAT